ATTAGAAGTTCGAACTGAGAACTGTGGTTGTTGAACTTCGACTTCCCTCCTCTGCCGAGGGCAAAAAAAAACAACAAACAAACACAAAAACAAATTAACCTCCTAACTTCAATTTCAATTTCAATTTAGTTTTATACATAAAATAAAATTACAATTTTGTATGCAAGTCCATTTACTATCAAAACCTTCTTATGTTAATAAATAAATTAAAAAAAAAAAAAAAGAAAAAAAGCAAACAGAAAAGAACAAAATATATATATTCTAGAAATAATGTCTTCACTGCCCCAATATTTTAGATCATGCATGTAACATAAAAAAAACGTATCGAAATTGGAAATTTAGTTGGGACTTTGGTTATTTTATTTTTAATTTTTAAATATATTGCCCTTATTTTCAAATTTTCCTTCCAAACTTCACCTTAAAGTTTTAAAATGGGCTTGGGAGGAAGATTTTTACTTGATTTGTTCTTCTCTCCAAGTAATATGAGATCTCACAATTCACTTCATTAGGGTCAGTATTTTCACTAGCACACTAGTCAATGTCTGGCTCTAATATCATTTGTAACCGTCCATGTCTATCACTAATAGATATTATCCTTTTTAGACTTTCCCTTTCGAGCTTTCTTTCAGGGTCTTAGAACTCGTCTACAAAAGAAATCTTACACTTTTATAAAGAATGTTTCGTTCTACTTTTCAACCAATACGAGATCTCACGTTTATTTGATGATAAATTAGATTAGTTACGGTTGAGTTATAAAGTAAAAAGTAATTAGCTTTAGGTTAGGTTGAAAAAGGGGTTTAAATGGGAGAAAAATGGAGTACCCAACAAGATGGGCCAAGCCCAAAGGCCTACTTCATAATTAGACTCAAATACCCTTCCAATAATACTAATCCATTAAAGTTAATTCAGGGGACAAAAAGGGAAATTTATAATCTGACGAGAGAAATGAGAACTTCTAATGGTTTGGGTCAATTTAAGTGGACAATCTGAAGTAGAAACGCGGGCAGACGCGCGGGCAGACACGCGGGTAGACCTTCCTCCATCGTTCATTCCTTGGAAACTGCGTCATAACTGTCGCTTTCCCTCTCTTTTTCCACTCTCCAATTTGCATTTTTTAATTTAATTAATATATTCCGCCTACCTTTGATTTTTCTCCGCTCCTCCTTATCTTACCATTTTAAAACAATCTTTTAATTTATCTTATCTTTTTATTAATTATAAATTTAGTTTCTACCCTTTTAATTTTTTTTTAATTAAAAATAGGTTACCACTAAATTTACACTGATTCGTGTATGCTTTATTTATAAGATTCAATTAAATTTGACCATTTGTCATAAGCTTAGAGGTGCTACATAAATATCTAATATGGAATTCAAATATCCTTTAAATATTACGTAATGTTTCCCGGAATAAAGAAGGAACCAGGGTCACGTGGTTGACTAGTAGCATCCTGCATGTCTACCCTAGCTTCGTGGAAGTTCCAACACCAGATTATTTTTTTATTTTTTTTATTTTTTTTATTTTTGCCCTTTGTTCGTGGAAAATATAAAAAAGTGGGGTTTGGTTTCGGAATTCACACGGGATCATCCGGCAAAAAGGAAGTCGTCGAAATAACTTCAAGAACCAGAACCATGCGTTTGACACGTGGCAAACCAAATAAAACTCGTAAGTTCATGCCCCGCTTTTCACGTGTCCGTACTAATCAATTTACTTTATTCTCCCCGTGGCCCGCACGATAATATTCCTTACAGATATTTCCACGTATTTTTCCTTATCCTAAGTTTTTCTTTTAGATAATATCAACTTCCAGTTACTAATATATATATTTCAATTTTCAACTTCTTTACTCTCTTATTCTTTGTAGGTCTAAACGAGAATTCTTGTAATGGTTCAACCATGTCGCTAGTAGATATTGTCATCTTTCAACTTTTCGTTTTGGAGTTCTCCTCAGAGCTTTAAAACGCGTATGCTAGCAGTAGGCTTGAGCTATTATAAATAGTATCAGAGCTAAACACCGGACAATGTGTAAGTGAGGAGCCTGTTTTTCGAAGGGAATAGACGCGAGGCGTTGTACTAGTATGGACGGTGGATTTTGTGAGTGTCCCACATCGATTGGAGAAAAGAAGGAGTGTTAGTGAGGACGCTAGACCCTGAAGAGGGGTGGATTGTAAGATCCCACATTGGTTGGGGAGGAGAACAAAACAGCCTTTATAAGGGTGTGAAAAACTCTCTCTAGCTAACACGTTTTACAAACCTTGAGGGTAAACCTGAAATGAAAAACCAAAATAGGACAATATCTATTAGTAGTGGGTTTAGGCCGTTACAATTTTTCACTTCGTTTGTCTCAATTTAACTAACGGAGAGACATCTCCCTACTCCCTTTCTCATTACCCGTTTAAATATATATATATATATATATATATATATATATATATATATATATATATATATATAT